CGGCTGCCGCTTCAATGGCCTTTACTGGTTTCTGAGGGTTGCCAGTTCCCCTTGATTCTCGCACAACTTGAATTTCTACGTCTGAATCATTATTGCTAGATAATTCAATTTGTCAAATTCTTCTAAACTGAGGCTTAGAGAAATCTGGTGATTTCCCTTTATTGCCTCCAGTACTAGAAGCCGTGTTTGCTGCTGCGGGCCTAGCCGCAGAGTCTCCTGTTTTCTTACTAGGGCACTGCTTGCCCCAATGTCCCAGCTTGCCACAAATGTAACATACGCCTCTTTTCTGTGCTTCTTGCATACTCAAAGCATTGCCCTCCTGTCGCTTCTTTGGATCAGGAGTGCTCCTTTGCTGTTGAGTCTGTCTCAAGCCAGACTGCTTCTGCTTGGATGTATTATCCACCTCCATGGTGTTCGGATCTTTAGGTGCAGGTCCTATTGAAGATACTGACTGGTGAATCCCCATGTCTTTGCAAATGTCGAGTACATAATCACAGTACTCCGACCATTTCTTGGGCCACTGGGAACTTCCTCTGGCCGCAAGGACATTCTTAATCTCTCTGTGCAATTGATCTCTGATTGCTAGGATTAATTCACCATCAGTTGAATTCACGAGGTCTGCCAGACCCCTGAACTCTCCAATGAACTTGGAAGTGTCTCCTGCCAAAACCTTGTCATATTTCTTGAGCATTCCCAAGAACTCTTGACGCACATCCTCTTCTTGATCCGTCGTGGTAAAGGCTCTCCGCATTTAGTGTAGGAAATCTTCATATTTCCCCAAATCTTTGGAGTCTTTAACCATGCGATAATAGTTTCCGGCCACTACGTGGGCATGGCCTTCCAACAAAGCAAGTACACCGGTGATTCGGTCTCTGTCCAAAGTCACCCTCTGGTGTGCGTACCATATGGCCAGTTTTTCAACGAATTGTTCAAAGGTCTGTTCCTTTGAGTTGTTTGCGAACCTTCCTGGTTGTGCAATCCTGAACCTTCTTTCTTCTTGTTCCTGCGACATTTGTGTCGCGGGCTGTTGTGCCACTTGTTCTACATGTTTATTTAACTGCTCTACGAGCAAGTTATAATCTGCCCTCAATTGTACATTCACATTTTCTACTGCAGCTAGGCGACCATCGGCAGCCGTGATTTCAGCTTGTTGTTCTGAAACCCTTCGCTCCAAATGTCCTGTCTGCGTGAATACATCCTTGAAAACTCTTTGAATTTCTAGTTGAAGCAATATGGTGGTAGATTCGAGTATCTCCTTCCATGCTCTCCTAGTAACTTCATTGTTTTCTCCAGGATAGTATCTTGCTATTACTCTCTCATCAATTTGAGGGTTTAATAGATACCAAGAAAGGTCTGGTTCAATTCCAGCTATTGGTATGGGTGTAGAAGATGTCGACATGTTTTAATTGGGATGTAGTATAGTTTCGTAGTAAGCATCCTTGGTTTACTACTGATGTCCGATTGAATACTAGATAAAATTTTCAGAGCGTGTTATTCCAAATAACACTATCTCTGCCCAACTCCACGTGATCACTTTCTCTTAATATCTCCTTAACTAATCGCCC